CGACATGGACCGGGGGCTGCCCGGGGAAACGGAGCCCTCAAGGCCCCCGCACGGCCCTGGCCACGTGTCCCCGCGGGCAGGAGGTGGCTCCGCGGCCGCCCGGCGCTGCCGTCCTCCTCTCCTGCCCCCTTCCCTGGCTCCTTCCCGCTTGTGTGTCCGCGTGTGCCATGAGGGGCTGCTTGACTCGGTCCTTCCTCGCCGGGTGCTCTCGTTTGTTTGCTTCCGCCTTCCCTCGCGGCGTCACCGCGAGTGGAAGCAGCTGCCCGCACGGTTGTGGTGTGACGTGTGGCTTTGCGAGGCCAGCCCTCCTCCCAGACAAAGTCCCCCCGTGCAGCCTGGTGAGGGCCAGACAGATGTGACCTTCAGCTCATTACGAGCGCGCCCAAATAGCGGGGTGACTAATGGGGAGCCATTGTGAGCTTCCTGGTGAACGGTGTTCCCTTGATCCCGGAATAGCTCGCAGCCCCATTAGTGATGCGGGATGAGTCACCCGGAGCGGGGCCTGTCCAGCAGCAGCGACTCGGAGCCGTTCCCGGCCTGGCATTGAGCTGGCTGTGTCTGAATGAGCCCATGTCAGCGCAGGCTGCTCTTCAGAGCCGGCCCCAGCCCTGTCCTATCTGATGGCACCGGGAGCCAGCGCAGCCGCCCCGGCGCGGGGCCACGTCCCGGTGACGTCCATCCCTTAGCCAAGAAAACGGCCGTGGCTCCTCCTCACCCGGGAGAGCAGGATCCATCACCAGGCTGTAGCCAAAGCCTCCTGAGCAGGAGGATAATTTTGGTTTTGGATTTCCATGGCAATCTCCTTCCCAGCCTGTGCAATGCAGGGGGCAAAGCCTGGTGTGTCGCAGTGGGACGGGCGCAGCTGCTGGGTCTGTGAGGGCTCCTGCCTCCAGCTCCGGCTCCCTTTGGGCGCAGGGAGGCCCCTTTGGCAGCGCAGGTGCCCGGGCGCCGTTCGCAGGGTGACAGGGGCTCTGGGAGGACGGCTTGGCCGCGCGCCAGCCCTCGGCGGCGCCGCTCACCCTGCGCTTGCTTTGCAGGGCAGCGCTGGCCTCTGCCCACCAGTGCCACCCACTGCCGCAGACGCTGAGCGTGCTGAAGAGCACCCCTCAGGTGAGGGGCATGCACACCATCATCAGGTAACGCCCGCGCACAGCTGCCCTGCGGCTCGCGGGGTGCGGGACAGCCCCCATGGGAGCCCCGGGCACCGAGTGCTGGCGGGGTCTGGGCTCCGAGCCCTGCGGTGCCGGGGACGCGGCAGCAGGGCCCGTTCAGGCCAGGCCAGGGGGGGTGCTCCGTGCTCCTGCCAACACTTTGCTGCTTTTCACCTTAAAACTGCCCTGCACTTCCATCCCCTGGAGCCCTGTGAACAAGTAGCTGACAACAAGCAGGGCCTCCTGCCAGCAGCTCCTGTCTGTGCCGGCGGCTCCTGGGACACATTTTGGCCAGGGCTCACACTGCCTTTGCCTCCCCTCTAGAAACAAGGAGACCAGCAGGGACGAGTTCATTTTCTACTCCAAGCGGCTGATGCGGCTGCTGATTGAGCACGCGCTCTCGTTCCTCCCGTTCCAGGTGGGTCTGGGTGCGCGGCAGGATGGGCAGGCGGGTGCAGGGTTTCACCGCCAGTTCCTAACCAGGAGCTGGGGCAGCCCTGGCTCTTTTCCTGCAGCCTTTTCCTTCTGCACTGAAATGGGGACAGGATTCCACAGGTCAGACCTGTGGCCACAAGGCTCCTGGGGCCAGGGCTCCATCACAGCGCTGTTTTTCCGCATTGGTTTTCTAGAGTTGCACAGTCCAGACTCCTCAGGGACAGGACTACGAAGGCAGGACGTACAGTGGGAAGCAAGTAAGTGGAAGCAAAAGGCACTATAGAAACCGTGGGACTAGATCGAGGCCGAAAGCCTCCAGGAGCAGGACTGGCCTCTTGGGGCTTTGATCGGGGCTATGTCTGGTGCCTGTGGTTCCTGCGGCCACAAGCGAGATCCCCGGGATGGGGTGTTGCTGGTCCAGCCTGGAGCTAATCCCATGGCTGTTGCTCCCTGCAGATCACCGGCGTGTCCATCCTGCGCGCGGGCGAGACCATGGAGCCGGCGCTGCGCGCGGTGTGCAAGGACGTCCGCATCGGGACCATCCTCATCCAGACCAACTGCAACACGGGCGAGCCGGAGGTACCGGCCTGGCTGCCGCGGGCACCTCCTCCTGTCGGCAGGGACTGGGGTGGGAACGGGTCCGGGAGCCGATCACGGAAGGGAAGGGGCACTCGGAGAGAGCGGGTACTTTGAGCGCCGCCGCAGGGGCTTCCCGGCTTGGCCGCGCTGCGGGGACGGGTTTGCCGTGGTGTGCAGCCCAAAGCAGAGAGCTGGGCTCCTGGTCATGGAGACGGGCGTGAAGGAGCCCAGGATGGGGCATGTGGCCCAGTCCTGGGCCCCTCCATCCCGCGTGTCAAGGGAGGTCCCTGCGTGACACCTCCTGCCTCCGGCTCATCCCTCTCCTGCCCCTTCCAGCTCCACTACCTGCGGCTGCCGAAGGACATCAGCGAGGACCACGTCATCCTCATGGACTGCACCGTGTCCACGGGCGCCGCGGCCATGATGGCCGTGCGGGTGCTGCTGGTACGGGGCCGCGGGCTCTGCGCAGGGCGGGCGCTGGCGCGGAGGGGTGGTCGGGCCCCAGAATACCAGCACGTACCAGGCTGTTTCCATCGCAGCTGGCCCAGGGCCATCACACAGCTCGGAGCCGCTCACCCCGTTGCTCCTCGCACGTGTTTCCAGGCTGCAGCTCCCGCCTTCTGCCCTGGCTCTGTTTCTCCACAGGATCACGACGTCCCAGAAGACAAGATCTTCCTCCTCTCCCTGCTCATGGCAGAGATGGGCGTCCACTCCGTCGCCTACGCTTTTCCCCGAGTGAAGATCATCACTACCGCTGTGGACAAGAAAGTGAATGACCTTTTCCGGATAATCCCCGGCATTGGTGAGTAGCTGGGTAGCAATATTCAGCTGCGGGGGACTTCTGTTTTTGCCCCACTCCCCTGAGGAGTTTTAGAGCAGAGGATCCAAAACGGGCTCATCCAAAACAAACTCGCACTGTTCTCTCCTCACCTCCGCTGTGCCAGGACCGCCCCTGCCACCGGGTGCTAAAACAGCCTCCTGGCTGCTCCAGTTTTGCTGCTCCACAAATCTTAGCCCCATTTGAGCTGTCAGAAAAACCTGATTTTGTGGTGCTGGCGAGAGGGCGAGCTGGGGGACTGATCCCCTGCAGAGCTGCACCCTCGCTGCAGCGCTGGCACTGTCCCCAACAGGGAACTTCGGTGACCGGTATTTCGGGACGGACGCTCCTCCCGACTGGAGCGACGACGAAGACGCTCTTAGCACTTAGCTGGACGTGGAGACGCCAGGAGAGAGGCAGCTTCAGCACCGCACCTTACCCCTTTCCTCTCCATTGCAGAGATTTCGCCCTCCTCACCAAGCATAGATATTTTTTTCAAATCTTACATTGCAGATCTAGGTCATATTTTTTCAAAGAAACACAAATCCTAGTTTGACCTTGTGGACAGCCACTTACGTGTCCCAGGGCAGAGTGGAGTTAATTTATTTTAATTTAAATTTTTGCCTATATAACTTATTGGAGATATTTTATAAAGAAAACAATAATAAAAATTTTCTCTGGTTTTCTTGAACGGAGCCATTGGCTGGCGGCAGCGCTGCGTGGAGGAGCTGCTGGTGGTTCTGGGCTGGCCCAGGGGCAGCGGTGACGCACCAGGACTGCGGCACGGGGACAGGGGGCGCAGGGGGGGC